AGGCCCAGCTGCTTGGGGCCAAAGGAAAATAAACAGTCGGGCCCTGTGTGTATTCCACGGCCAAGAGAAGCCATCCTTCATGAGACAATGAGTGTTTCCAACCCCAGCCTCCCCACCTTCCCCGCCTGGAAGGGAGTGCAGTGGCTCCTGGGCTGCAGCCGTCCCCAGACTGCTCTCTTCCCAGGGTGCATCCCAGACGCCATGGCTCATCACCTCCCCGTGGTCCCACCAGAAGTGACAGCCTCGCCTCTGAAACCCCAGGGCCCTTCTCTGGAGCTCTGCCCTGGGTTTCCCCAGGACTGGTTGATCCATGCATTCATTTGTCTGTCAATAGATAAGCATCATTCATTCATTCAATAAATGTTTATTGAAGAGGCCAGCATTGCTATTGGCACACTACATCATAGTGCTAGTTACAAATCTGGCTGCTCTGCACCCAATCCAGCATCCAGCTAATGTGCCTGGAAAGGCAGCAGATGATGGCTCAAGTACCTGGGCCCCTACCACCCAATGGTGGAGATCCGCATGGAGTTCCAGGTTCCTGGCTTCAGTGTGGCTCAGTCCTGGATATTGCAAGCATTTGGGAAGTCAATCAGTGGATGGAAGGTCTCTTTGGCACTCTGTGTTTCAAATAAATGAATTTATTTTTAAAACTGTCTATTAAATTCCTCTTGCATTCTAGACATGGTTCTAGGTGCTAAGGATTCTGCTGTGAAAACAGACAAAAACCTCTGTTATCATGGAGTTCAAATTTTAATGGATGCAATACAACATGGAAGGTGATACCAAATGTTATGGAAGGAAATAAGACAGGCGAGAGGAGTGAGACATACAGCGGAGGGGAAGGTAGATTTTACATATGTCAGGAAAGGCCTCTGAATGGAAGTGGCTTCTGGGCATGGGTCCCCAGGGGAGGGGAGTGATTCACAGACACCAGAGCCAAGCAGAGGGCTGGGGTTCAGAGCCCCTGAGCTGGGACAACTGGCATGTCTATGAACAGCAGTGATGCCTGGGGAATGTGGTCAGAGAGAGTCAGGGAGGAAATGGGCCAGAAGACCCGGAGAGGACTCAGGCTTTCCCTCGAGGAGGCAAGGAGCCCCTGTTGCTGCTGAGTGGAAGAGCAACGCATCAGTCTGACCGACTCGAGTTTCATTCACAGGACCCTGGTGAAGATGGTGAAGGCAGGAAAGTCAGAAACACAGCCCTGCTGGAGTGTGGGGGGCCCTGCTCCCCTTCTGCTGTGCTGGGAGAAGCATGACAGAGCCATCACCGTGAGGACCCTCAGGGCTAGCGTGGCTGGGTTGTGAATGCCTTCCCTCCTGTCCTGGGAGGCAGGGATTGTCTGTGAAAGTGCAAGTCCCTCAGCATCTTACTCTGTCCTTACCACCCAGGTGGCCAGGAGTCTATCCACTACAGCCTAAGAGGATTCGGGATAGTTAGTTCATTTTCCTATGGGTTCCAAGAGGCCTATGAATCCCTCCAACAAGTGAGGATGCAGAGGGCAGGGCAGAGGGAGGGGTCTGACACTGTCCCCACCTTGGACACCAGCCAAGCAGGAACTTGGCATAGAACACAAGCAAATGGTGGTGCCTTCAAAATCAGGTTCTGCCACTTCCTAGCTCTTCCAATTGTGTGATCTTGGGATGGTTTTGATTTTTGCTTTTCCTTAAGAGGAGGAAGGAGGAGTTCTACAATCCTTAAAAGCATAAATAAGCCAACAGCAGGAGAGTTGGCTGGGAGTGCTATGTTATTAGGCATCAAAGCTATTTCAGATCGGGCACTCAGGGTGAAGGAACAAGCACATAGCAGGAGCCAGCAGGCTCTGTCTGAGCAGCCCCAAGGACAGCCAAGCTCCAAGTTCCACCGACTACAAGATCCCGTGCTCAATGTCACGGATCTCTTGGCCATCAGGTACTCAGCACTGGTCAGGAAGGAGAGCCAGGAGGCAAGCCTTTGTGCTGGTAAGAACAAGTTATCCAGGACTCGCAAGTAAAGCAAAAGGAGGCTTCAGTGGCCTTGCAATGTCGTGCTATGGCGGCAGTGGACAGCGAGCAAAGACTTATTTTTCCAAGGGAATGTGCTGTGGCTATACAATCTGCTACCAATTGGGGCCCAGGCTTTGGGAACCTCTGGCCTCACTTGGAGATGTAGGCATAGATATACACATTCCCACATGTGAAGATGAGAAGGGCTTTTTTTTTCCCAGCAAGAGAACCACAAAATGTATGGTGTTATTGTCCAAGAAGACATGAACTGGCTTCACTTTTAACTTGGCCAACTTCGCTATCAGTATGTCCTTCCCAACTAAATAGTCAAATCTCTTTAAAAAAAATATTTATGTTTTTTAATTGGGAAAGTAGGTCAGATTTAAGAAGAGAGACAGAGAAGGATCTTCCATCTGATGGTTCACTCCCCAAATAACTTCAACAGCTAGAAATGAGTCAATAGAAGCCAGGAGCCAGGCGCTTCTTCCAGGTTTCCCACATGGGCACAGGGTCCCAAGGTTTTGAGCCATCCTCTACTGTTTTCCCAGGCCATACGCAGGGATCAGGATAGGAGGTGGAGCAACCAGAACATGAACTGGCACCCATAGGAGATCTCGGCACTTGAAAGGTGAGCAGGTAGCCAATGAGCCATTGCACTGCAGTCCAGTTTCTTGCAGATGCCGTTTTCCATAGGCTTTGTAACTAGCAAGTCATCACTGACACATGCTAAAGTCCTCACCTTGCACACTCCGGGACCCCATGTGGGCGCCGGTTCTAATCCCGGCGGCCCTGCTTTCCATCCAGCTCCCTGCTTGTGGCCTGGGAAAGTAATCGAGGATGGCCTAAAACCTGTTCCGAGGCTCTAGGCTCCTGGTTTTAATGCAGCTCCAGACATTGCAGCTGCTTGGGGAGTGAACCAGCAGATGGAAGATCTTTCTGTCTCTACTTCTCTCCCTAAATCTGACCTGCCTTTCCAATAAAAGTAAATCTTTAAAAAAAATTTACTCTTCAACAGAATCCCATGTGAAAACTCTGCCTTTCAACGGGGGGGGGGGGGTGTCTAGCTCCCAGGGACTGTGGCGGCCTATAGAGGCCAAGGGAAGTGAAAGTAGCATGCCCAGAATCAAGGATGTGAAAACCAGAGTTTATTGCTGGGACTCTTCTGCCTAGGCACCTCCAGAGCTGGAAGAGCTCAATCAAACCTTACAGTTAATTTTCCTTGTTTTATTCTCAGGACACAGGCCAGAAGGGGTAGCCTTGACACCCGTCTCCATGACCAGGAAGTGCCTTGTTTTGATGCTACATTCTCCACTTCTGCTGAGCTCCTGAAGGATGGCGACCACCCAGGACCATGGAAAGGCTGGGAGGTAGGGGGCCAGGGTCAGAGAACCTTACTGGAGGGAGTAGTTGCCCCATCCAGCAGCAGAGGTCTAGATGTGGGGGTTGAGCCCCCACAACTACTTGCAGAATTTCATCACTTTATCCTGCAGGTGGGGAAGTGTTCCTGCTTGGCTACCAGCACAGAAGCTCACTGTTACCACCTGCATACGTGCAAGGCCACACATGTGCACATGCTCCCACAAGCACATACACATTCATGGTGGTCACAGCCAATGGGCCGATGAGCAGTGCGGACGCTGAGGAACTGCATCAGTCTGTGCTGTGCCGAGGTGGGGACAGAGCAGCGTGGGAGCAGAGGCTAGGAGGGGGCAAAGATGAGGCAGCAGTGGGCAATTTCTTGAGTACCCTCAAGCCAGGTAGTCAGTCTACTTCCCTAGCCAAAGGGGAGATGAACAACTCTAGGTGCTCCCCTGAGGCTGCACATTCCTGGAGAAGTTGTGGGGACTCTTCCTCTCACCCTGGGATCTCACTCCGAGCTGACCTTGGATTTGTGCTATTTCAGCTGGCCACAGCCCTCTTGGAGTGTCTCCAGCCATGGCTGCTTTCCCTCCAGACTGGGCTCAGAGACCCTCTTCCACCTGTTCCCCCACTCCCAACACCCCCTGAGCCGTTAGTCTGTGAAGTCACAACCTGTGCTTCTAGAAGCTAAGTAGTTAACCGGGTCCTGCCTGTAGACACCTCATTCCCTAAAGTGACACAGTTTTCCTCTATTGTCCCATTGGCCTGATTTCTTCAGTACCTTCTTTAATAATAGCATAGATGGATTATTTTTAAAAGATTATTTTTATTAGAAAGACAGATTTACAGAGAGAGCAGAAGAGACAGAAATATCTTCCCTACACTGGTTCACTCCCCAAATAGTCTCAACGGTTGGAGCGGAGCCGATCTGAAGCCAAGAGCTTCATCTGCATCTCCTATGTGGTTGCCGGGGTCCAAGGACCTGGGGTCATCCTTTTCTGTTTTCCCAGGCCATGAGCAGGGAGCTGAATCAGAAACGGAACAGCATGGACTAGAACTGGAGCCCATATGTTATGCTGGCACCTGCAGGTGGAGGGTTAGTCTGTTGAGCCACAGTGCTGGCCCCCATAGATGGATTCTTATTATTTTTTAAAGACCTTGCATGTTGTCTTGAACCCTTTTGCATCAAGGAAGTGTGGGCAAACTGTCTTGTCCTGTAACTCTGGAGATCGAGAATCTAAGTCTCACAAAACTTTCTAGCAATAACTCTCTTTGGGCTCAGCACTGTGTCAGGTACACAGCAGATGCCTATTTTTTGCCTGCTGATTGGCAGTTGGGGCAGTTTTGTTTAACCTATGCCTGTTTGTGCTCCATGACCACTCAAGTACCAACCTGGGTTCTTCAAATACCAACACCCCCCTCACTCACTGACACTGAGACCCGTCCCACCCCACCATCCAGCCCCAGGGCCTCTTGTACCATTCACACCAGAAGGCTTGAGAGCCCAGGGTCTCAACAGGGAGCTAAGTTCCTGGAAGTCCCTAAGGCCGCCCTCATACTCTGTCACAGCTCAGGGAGAAATCAGACCAGCTCCTTGTAAAGTCTCCCACCCACCCCACTCCGCACCGCCAGAGGGATACAGAGGGAGGAGGGGGCGATCACAGCTCTGGTGTCGTGGAGGCCACAGGTCCAGCAGCGCCCAGGGGCAGCCTCAGGAGAAAGGTTTGCAAGGAGCCCGGCCGGGGGAAGCCGGCTTTCTCTCGGAGCAGCCGCCAGGTGCCGCCTTCGATTGCATAAAGCACGGTGAAGACTCGGTTCACGGTGTAGACCGTGTCTCCGCGCACCACGGCTGTGAAGAGCGCGCCCTTGCTGTTGACGAACTGGCCGGGCAGCGCAGTCCACTGACCCGTGGCCAAGTTGAGGCAGTCGATGGCACAGTGCAGGAAGTCGTCGGAAGGCCCGTTGCGCACAACGTAGAGGCTGTCGCGGTGGGCCACCATGCAGTGACCATAGCTCTGTGGTCGCCGCAGCTCGGCTACCGGCAGCCAAGTGTCTGCCCGCGCCGTGTACTCCACCACGGCCGTAGTGTCTGCCGGACGCCACAGGCACACGAAAAGGCGGCCGCGCGCCTGGGCGCAGGGCACTCCGGCGGCTGGCTGCGGCAGGTCGGCCACGAAGCTCCAGCAGCGCGCCGCCGGGTCATAGCGCTCCACGGAGCTCATGGCCGTCCTCTGGAACTCGCCGCCGATGGCGTAGAGGCAGCCGTCGAAGCCGGCCAGCGCCGTGTCATAGCGCGGCTGGTGCGGGCTGGGGAACTGGCGCCACGTGCCGCCGTCGGGATCGTAGCAGAAGCCCAGTTCTACCACTTCCTTGCTGGCCCCACGCACACCGCCTACGATGTACAACTTGTTGCCCAGCGTGGCTACACCTGCCAGCAGCGTGCTGGCCTCCAGGGGCAGCGCAGCCAGCGTGCGCCACGCGTCCTCCTCCTCATCTAGGTAGCAGAGCGTCCGCGATGCGTCCTCCAGGAAGCCGGGTGCAGGTGTGTGCGTGCTCACGGCCACATAGCTGCTGGGCCGCAGGGCAGCCACGTAGGCGCGGGCCTCGGGCAGCACCAGCTCGGCCGCCAGCTCGTGCGCGCCGTCGCGAATAAAGAGCGCGGCGCTGTGGAACACGTCGTGCAGGCCAAAGGCAGCGGCCGCATCGCACAGCAACGTGCAGTTGTCCGACGTGATGCTGTGCTCCAAGAAGCGTGCCAGCGCCGGCGCCTGCAGGAACGCGGCGCACTCCACGGCCTGCAGCAGCTCGTCGGGAGCCTCCAGCGCGGGCCTCTGGCCGCGCAGCACCTGCAGCGTTGTGCAGAAGCCGCCAGCGCTCAATACGCCCAGACGCACCTCGGCTGCGCGCGCCTCCCGCATGCCCGAGCGAAAGAGGCCGCGGAAAAAGTCACAGTGCTCTACCAGCAGGGCCTGCTCAGCCTCGAAGAGCTGGCCGCCCACCCAAATCTGCACTGCAGCCTCTGCACCCCGCGGCATGGTGAGCAAGAGGCGGGGGTGGAGGCCAATGCAGACGCTGGGGCCTCCCGGTTTGCGGAAAATGCTTCCCCCGGGGATATAAATATCGTCCCGGCTAAAGATAGTGCAGCTCATGTGATGTGGTCGCCCGCAGGCGGGGTGGCTGCGGGCCCATAGGCCACCTACAGACCTGTGTGTTCAACTGCTTTTCGTAGCTACTGCCACGTTGCAGGGTACTGCGAGGGGCTGCTCACAAGCAGGACCTGTAGAACGCACACCAACACCACCTGTGTGCCCTTGTGTGAGTACCCAAATTCCTCCCGGGACTCGGTCTTTGAAATGGGGCCCACAATAACACCTGTTTCACAGTATTGGGACAACGGCCGTAAAGCATTCCGACTGAAGTGCACAAGGCTTAGGGGATTTGTTAAAGTCATTCAGCTGGGAAATGAGCATTAGCTCTGAGCCGGTGACACCACGGCCAGAGAAGGAGGCAGAAGAGACTTCAGCCCACAGGCCTGGGCTAGCCCTGTCTCTCTGGGTCTCCACTTTCTCCTCTGTCACTTGGAGAAAGCAACATCCCTGCAGGGCGGATGAGTGGCCAATAAAAGCCCTGTAGGTGCCCATTTCCTCCATGCCTGGGGGTGGGGAAAAGCAGAGGGGCTGTTGAGGTGATCAGACCCCCGTGGAAGAGAAGAGGGGCTTCTTGCTGTAATAATAGTTAACTCTTGTATTGCATTAAGTGGAGACATCCCAGTAGTAAGCACTTGGCTACTATAGCTCTTGCCACAGTCTTACTAAGAAGCATCTTTAAAAACTTCTTGAGGAGCAGGCATTCAGTCGGCTAGTTCAGATGCCAGTGTCCCATATGGAAGTGTCTGGGGTTCTGTCGGGCCGCCCCTGACCCCAACCTTGTGCCAATGCAGACCCTGGAGGAAGCACAACTAACTGCTCTCCTGCCTCCTTACATCCTGATGGGAGACCTGAAGTCAGGCCTCAGCTGTTACATATTTTGGGGGAGTGGACAAGCAGATGGAAGTGTGTGCTTTTGTGTGTGTGTCTTTGAAATAAGTAAATTTTAAAAGTTCATGGACAATGCCTATTATGAGAGATCTATGCATAGTTTTCTCCTTTTTTAGTACCAAAACAAACTTTTAATTTCATTTCTACAAACTTTCTGAAGTATCCACATTCCCCCCATCTAATAAACACTCTCCATGGATTGCTTCTAGCAACACCATGCCTAGAATGGCCCCATTTCATAGATAAAGAGACAGACAGAGGCACCCAGAGGTCTAGTCATATGGCCAGAGAGTGGCAGAGCCACCACCTGCAAGCAGCGAGTCTGACCTGGGGCGTGTGCCCCTAACCGCTGTGCTCTGCTGCCTCTTGTGCTGCCAATGCTAGGCAGGCTCTGGTCAGGAGGTCCCAGTTGGAAGCAACATCAAGCACAGATGGTTCAGCACTTCCATGTACAGAGTGGACAACTGAGAGCAAAGAGGCGGCTAACCTAACAGAATGTCTTACAGCTTGAGACTGGGAGCCTCCAGGTCTCGTGCTGACCGCCCCAGGGCACTTTTTAACACTTCCAACTAGCCAGAATTTTCCTGGGTAGCCAACTACTACTTGTCGAATGGGAGGAAGTTTAATGAATCTCTTCTTTCTTCTCTGCTTCCTTACTCTGCAAGTGAGCAAACTGAGGCCCAGATTTGAGTGGGACTGTATTTGCCACTCAAGGAGAAGTTCAGGCACCTGTCCTCACCTACAAGACGACTTCTGGCATGTTCCCCAGCCAGTGACCAAGCAGGAAACAAGAGGAAGGCAGGGAAACTTTCATCCCATTAGGAAACATAGGTGCGAATCTGCAGAGCCACACAGAGGAGCCTGCTCTAGTAGGAAACATCCACCCAGTTTGCTTCCTCAAAGCCAGGCTTGGATGTGGGGACCACAGTGTGAGCCTGGGAAGCCAGCGGCCTGGGGGAGGCAGCCAGAAATACCTGCACTCAACCCCGGGGCAGTACCGGAAGGGGAGGAGGGGGAGGCAGAGTGGGTGAGTGAAAGTCCCCACAAATACTGTCCCAGGCATGGTGCCAGCTGCTCTGCTTGCCCGAAAGGTCCTGAAATGCCCAGGCAGCAGGCGTGTCAGTCCCTCTCTCTGCAATGCCAGCTCCTGACCATACCCTTCCTGGTGACCCAAGTGGTAGCAGGGGAGGGGATATTTGCCTTCACATTTCAGAGGTTAAAAAAAAAAAAAAAAAAGCAAGGCTTGGAAGTCTGATGGACTTGTCCTCACTCATGAACCAGGATGTGAGAATGGATTAAACCCTACCTGTTAACCCCAGGCCCTGCTCTTTGACACCAGCCTACCTGCCCCTCTCTTGCCCTGGCCTTGCCTCAGCTGTTTCCTCTGGGGCTCAGGTAAGGGCAAAGATGCTTAGGAGCTGAATTCCAGGATATGGGGCTACAGCACAAGTGTTGGAAACACAGGTGCCTCCCAAGCAGGGTGTCCCAGACACCTAGCAGCTAGCAGGCACATCCAGATGGAACCATTCCATAGCAAGAGGCACAAAGAATGTAAACCACTCCCCCACTGAAGCTCACTTGCTTATTGGTTCCTGAGCTCTCAGATTTTCCCCAAGTCCAGCCCTGGCCTGAGTTGGCTGGGGCTCGTGCACCGCCCACTTTCCATCTCCAGCAGCTGGGCGGTGGGGAAGGGTCCTCCGGTGGGACTGTGGTTCTGAGGCTAGGCTAAGTACCCCCAGGCCTAGCCGGAGGCTGCCTGCGGTGAGAGCTTCCTCTTCCTGGAGGCTGAGTGTCCCTCTGGGACTTGGAGAAGACAAGGAACTAGCCTGCCTGTGGGCAGCCCACAGAGTTTCCCAGGCCCTGGCCGACCCCACATCAGCCTCCCACTCCGTTCCGGGCTGGGAGTAGGAACCAGGGGAGGAGTCAGCTCAGACTGCAGCTCTCTGGAGCACCACCCCAGCCCAACCACAATGACAGGCAACAGCAGGAATCTGTCAAGTGTAAGAGTAAGACAAGTAAGTAAGTGTAAGAGTCCTAACATTGCCAGGAGAGACCCAGCCCTTGCCCTGGGAGACTGGTTGCTCTTTCCATCCTCAGTGGTGTTCCCACAGGCACTGATAGGCTGGACAGTCACTTGCGCTGCCTGGACCTGAGGAAGAGCACTGGGCTAGGAGTCCAGATGGCTGTGTGTGCTTTGAACGCCGGTACCACACTCACTTGCAAAAGTGAGCCAACCTTGCCAAACCTCGTTTGTTCACTTAGAAGGCTGTGGAGTTAGGTTCTGTTTCGCTTTGACATCTGCACTTCACATTGCAAGCCCACAGACATGATTTCACAATGGCTCTCTAGGGAAGCCATCAACTTAACTAAGACTTTCCAGAAACCTGGCTTCCTGTGGAGTGGCTCCTGGAGCACCTCATTGGCCCTCCATGTCTAGACTTGTACATGTCCCACCTGATCATTCCAGGACAGCTGTTGAGCACCTGCTGCATGCTCCCACTGTAGGGCTCAGTGCTGTGCCTCTGCCCTCATAAGAGCCTTGTGTTGAAGTCAGAAGAACTGAGCACTAGGGCCAGAAGCTCCTGGCTGCTGATTTTGGACCAGCCAGGCCTGGCCATTGTAGCCATTTGAGGAGTGAACCAGAGTAGATCTTTCTTTTGCTCATTCTCTTTATGTGATTCTGCCTTTATTTTTTTTTTTAACTTTTACTTTTCTTTTTAACTATTTAATTAAGTTTATTGGAAAGGCATTTTACAGAGAGAAGGAGAGGCAAAGATCTTTCATCCATTGGTTCATTCCCCAAGTGACCACAATGGCCAGAGCTGAACTGATCCAAAGCCAAGAGCCAGGAACTTCTTTGGGTTTCTCACATGGGTGCAAAGTCCCAAGACTTTGGGCCATCCTCTACTGCTTTCCCAGGCCACAGACAGGGAGCTGGGTGGGAAGTGGAGCATCCGGGGCAAGAATTGGCACCCGTATGTAATCCCAGTAGTTGCAAGGTGAAGATTTAGCCACTGGGCCATCACATCAAGCCCAATTTTCTTTTGAATATTGCCTATTTAATTGAGAGGAATGCACACCCATGGGAGCCTCTGATTAGGGTGAAGAGGGTCAGGTATAACAGAAGATGGTGGGACAGATGTTTGTTTGTTATTCTTGTTTTTCTCCTGTATCTGCAGGAGAGGAGAGGGAGAGAGCCACTCCTTGCTGTCAAACTACATCAGCACCTCGGGTTAGGAGACAGTCAATTGATGATGCCTTAGACACCCTAAAGTGGGAAAGAGTGTTAAAAAGTGTTCTGAGGGTGTTATTTGAGACATTGTTGACTTTGTTGCACCAGGATTGAGAAAATCTTTCCAAGGTCTATTGGTTGACAAAGTCCACCTCAGTGCATCCACAAACCTAGGAACCTATTGCAAAGCTTCGCTACAAAGAGTTGTCCAACCTGCTTTGCTTTCCATCCTCTAACTGCAGTACCAGTAGCCCAGTAGACAGTAGACAGTCCTTGCTGACCTACTTGAGCTGCCTGTCATGTCCCCCTGTGATTTTTCCCTGTAGCTGGGGTCTGAGTCCAGCGCTGCAGTAAAATAAAAAATAAATAATATTTTTAAAAAATTGAGCATGAGGGCCCAAATTCCTCTGTCAGGGTGTGTGGAGTATGTGCCATTCATGTCTGCAGGAGTGGGGGGCGAGCATTTGCTTTTTTGAGTTGTGGGACAATCTGCATGTGAGACAGTTTCATATCTAATCCTTAATAGTATGCCTATTTATTTATTTACTTTTAAAATTTATTTGAAAGGTGGAGAAAAAGAAAGAGGCACAGATCCTACTTCTGTTGGTTGACTCCCCAAATGCCTGCAGCAGCTGAGACTAGGCCAAAGAAACTTCATCTAAGGTAATCCCAGACCTGATTCTTGTGTGTGCCTGCCAATTCAAATAAAAATAAAGAAATTTTAAAATAAATAAATAAATAAAAAGCAGCAGCAGCCTGTGATACTGGCATCTCATACAACTTCCCATCCAGCTCCCTACTGATGGCCTG